CCATGTTGTTGAAGTTTGGTCTTGTTGGTTGGGATATGTGTGGGTGGGTGGTTGATAGTATTAGGATGTTTGATCGTGATGGAAACGAAGCAACGGTTCTTGTGGTGTATGAAATTCGTATGATGGTTGGATACTTCGATGGCGTGATGTTTGACAGGTGGTGCATGGAATTTCTTTCTGAAGAATCTCCGATTACACGTTGCTCCTCAACCCAGCCTTTGTTTGATTTCAGACAGACATCCATCGATTGTGAGTGCATACAATAACCCTGATAACGGTTGGCAGGATCCCCCTTCAACACATGTCTATTGCATTAGACATATCGCACAAAACTTCATGCTCCATATCAAAGACTAGACACTTCGAAAAAAAGTTATTAATGCAGGGTATGCCTTAACAGAGCCATCATTCTGACACTATCGCGAAGAAATCTGGTTGGCAAACTCAGAAGCATTAAGGTGGATCGATAACATTCCAGTGGAGAAGTGGACTCGGGCATTTGACAATGGTCAATGATGAGGTCACATGACAACAAATTTGGTGGAATCATTGAACTCTGTATTCAAAGGCATCTGAAACCTACCAATTACTGATTTGGTTAGAGCAACATATTTCAGGATGGGGTCATTATTTGACACAAGAAGTTTAAAATGGAGGGCAGTGTTACAATTAGGGCAGTTGTTTAGTGAATGCACAATGAAAATATTTAACAAGGAGGATACGAGAGCAAACACCCATAGTGTCACCTTATTTGACCGTATTAAAAGTTAGTTCAGTGTACAAGAGACAGTGGATCATAATGAGGGAAGGCCAAGGGGATATTATCGGGTCAAACTAGATAGAGGTTGGTGTGATTGTGGAAAGTTTTAAGCATTTCGCATGCCTTGCTCTCATGTCATAGCGACATGTTTGCATGTTCGCTTGGACCCAATACAACATATATCCCCGGGTACACAATAAAGAGCGTTTTAAGTGTGTACATCAATACCTTCTATGTGTTGGAAAAGGAGGATTATTGGCCTACTTATCAAGGGAACATTGTTTAGCACAATGAACAAATACGATGGAAGAAAAAGGGGCGCCCGAAAAGCGCTCGTATTAAAACTGAAATGGTTACGGCCAACAAAATAATAAGATTATGCAGTACATATCGTCTTCCCGGACACAATCGGAAAAATTATCCGAATATTGGGTCTAGCTCTACAACTTAACTTTTTTATAGCAAACTTTCTGGAGTGATTAATTTGTTGTACGCAATATATTTCAATTTAAATTCGGGTTATCATTTCGTGTTCAACTTATCATTCGATTACAACAACCTTCACATAATGACACAAAAAATTACAACACCACAAACTCAGGATAACAACACAACAACATGATAAGCAGACAAAACAACAAAACAAATCATAATATCTAAGAGATAAAAACCATCGACACAATATCGTTTGGTCCAAGCATTATCATCATGACACCAGCGTCGCATCTCACCTTTTTCCATGATCGGCTTACTCCATTTTTGTTCCTCACTGTAATGTGCCTTTCTATTTTTTTGATATGTTCACCTTCAGGAATGTCTCCTTCCAACCAGCGAATCAAGTGCCTCTGAAAATGTTCGAATGTCTACGTGTTCTAGAGTTTGATCTTCACCAGAGGCTTTGTCGCCGAAAAAATAACATGCGCATCTCTTTTGATCAGTGAAAACCTTGGCAAGGGAGTTGAAGACATTTTCTAAGAGTTATGCGACAAATGGTGTAAAAAAATAAGAGGATGGGTGGTTGCATTTATAGAAAACTATATAACACTATCAAGTCAAAGAAATGGTGCATCCTCTCTGCCAATACATGCATGCGCCACACTGCATGGCTTTACAGAGGAGGACAAGACATGCAGTGTGGCGCCTCCTCTCTAAAAAGCATGCATGCGCCACACAGAGTGGCTACTCCTTTGTGTGGCGAATTTCTTTTGTTTGAAAAGTGATTAGTTTGGTAAATTTTTTGAAAATGTGGTTATTTAAGAAGAAGAAAAATTAAAAAATATGGTTATTTGAAGAAAAAAATTTGAAACTTATATTATATGAAAGTTAGAAATGTTGTCTATAATTCTTGTGAATACAATAAGAATAAATAAGATTGTTTTAAATAAGATTGTTCTAACAAGTCGAGTTTGAGCTGGAAAAAAATTTTGTGATAAACTTAAACTCTCAATTCTTAATGAGTCGAATTTGAACTGAAAAAAAAATCATAATAAATTTGAATTCGACTAATTTTTAATGAGTCGGACTGAACTGAAGCGAGTTCGACTCGACTAAAGTCAGTTTCAACTTTGTTCCATACCCATGTCCATGTCTACACAAAATTATTGTTACGGTGTGTTTAATTCACATCCCTCCAAAACTTCATTTCACCACTAATTCTCAACTTGGGACCCATTTATAACATTTTTCTTATATTTATATCGTACTCTTCTTGCATATGACCCATACTTTGATCATCACTTTCCCTCAACAACAAAATCATTCTCCTTTCTGCTAAAACTTTTTCTTCATGGCTCTCTTTCTTTTTGTTATTTTAGTCTTAATGCCATCTTTAACCAATGCTTATTGGCCACCTTCACCTGGTTACTGGCCAAGTTCAAAGTTCCAGTCTATGAGTTTTTACAAAGGTTTTACAAATCTTTGGGGACCTCAGCATCAAAGACTAGAACAAAATGGATTAACAATTTGGCTTGATAGAACCTCGGGAAGTGGATTCAAATCGGTTCGTCCGTTCCGATCCGGGTATTTCGGTGCTTCCATTAAGCTTCAACCAGGTTATACTGCTGGAGTTATAACAGCTTTCTATGTAAGACATGACAATTTTTATCTACATTTTTGGATTGACAACGAATTCGGTAAAATCATTGTGTATGTGATTATGTCGAACTCGTTGTCCATTCAAGCACTATAAATTCAAATATGCACTAATTTTAGCTTATTAATTGTAATTAGTATTAATGATGATTAATTATTGGATTTTTGGCAGTTATCAAATAGTGAAGCACATCCTGGTTACCATGATGAAGTGGACATTGAGTTTCTAGGGACAACATTTGGAAAGCCTTATACTTTGCAGACAAATGTTTATATAAGAGGGAGTGGAGATGGCAAAATTATAGGTAGAGAAGTCAAGTTTCATCTTTGGTTTGATCCTACCAAAGGTTTTCATCACTATGCTATACTTTGGAGTCCTAAGGAGATAATGTAAGTCACCTTATAATTTAACTATATTTCTCAACATTTTAAATAACAGTTGCCGTCGGATTAGTATCAGTATTGATACATTTCAGTACAGTTTTTTCATGAACACTTTTGCCGTAATACACCGATTTTTAAAATTAAATACATAGATTATGAGTGCTAATCTAAAAAAGAATTCACATTTAAGCTTGGATTTTGTGTGGCCGTGTAGGTTGCATTGCATGATTGGTCTTAATCAATTTTGCATCAAAGTTTAGGCTAAATTGATTAGTTATTTTTAAAAATGAAAGCTTTTTTGTTGTTTAAGGGAGTGGAAAATGAAAGGCTAAAAATATAATTTTTTCTGAATAAAAGAAAAAGGTAAATAGGAATGTGACAGAATTAATAAGAAATCATACAGAAAAACAAAACCACGGTCACATGAATGGCACAAAAATCATAACATTGACACTAACACCCAACTAATGAAAAGTGAAAAAGTAACATTAATTTATTCAAGATTGGTTTTAAACTATAGGTAACATAACATTGATAGAAATGATTTACTGACAATGAGTAACGTGTCAGATTCCTAGTGGATGATGTGCCAATAAGGAGGTACCCTCGGAAGAGTGACACAACATTTCCAATAAGACCAATGTGGTTATATGGTTCAATTTGGGATGCTTCATCATGGGCAACAGAAGATGGAAAATACAAAGCTGATTACAAGTATCAACCATTTGTGGCACACTATACAAATTTCAAAGCTAGTGGTTGCACAGCTTATGCACCCCGTTGGTGTAGACCGGTTTCGGCTTCGCCGTATGGCTCTGGTGGATTGAACTCACAGCAAAATAATGCAATGAGATGGGTGCAAAGGTATCATATGGTTTATAATTATTGTCAAGACTCAAAAAGAGATCATAGATTAACGCCTGAATGTTGGGGTTGAAGATTATATTTTTTGCATTTTTGGGGGGTGTCCCAAAAAACAAAAATACTGTTGTCTTGTGATCTTTTTTGTCTGTTTGTTTAGGAAAAGTTTTCTTTTTTACTTTGTGGGGGTGATTTGAGGTGGGGGGGCTTTCTATTGTGTGGTTTTTTTGGCTGTTACATTTATTTTATCTGGTGTATACTGCACCAAATGAGAAAAAAATAGAAGGGGGAGAGAAAGGAATAATGTTTGTGAATGTCCAAGAAAAGCAAAGTGGACAATTATGTATGGGTTGGTAAATGTGGCACTGTTTGAGTGCGAATATCATAAGCATACTCTCAATTTTATAACGTTATTGTCATTTTACAACGTTATTGTCGTTTAAAGGATGAAAATGACAGCACTATCGAAAATAAGCAAAGTTCTGACAAGAAACTTTTGATTATCAATGTCGTCTCTTGAAAAATGTCTGTTGCAAAGTGTAACATAGAAATCAATTTGAGTTGTCCATTTTGAAAAATATGACCCAAAGACTCGAATCAATCTTCATTGATTTATCCTGATCAGTACATACGTTGTCCTCTATAGTAGGAAAATATAAATATCAACATTAAAGCTCTAATATATAAAATATAGGAATAATTACAATAAAAAAACTTCGGAAAGTTATAAATATCAATACCACGGCTCTAGTATATAAATTATAGGAATAATTACAAAAAGAAATACCCTTGCAAAACAATAAATATCTCAACTACTTTAGGGACAGCTGAAATTCTGAGAAACAAAACTAGAAAGAAAAAAAAAAGGACCAACATCTATGAATCAAAGGATAGAATTACTGTCTCACTGGAGATTGGTACAGAATAGTTGCAATGAGTTCTCAGTTAAACAACCAAGCATTCCATGATTAGGAGAGTACCTAATATCGCGAACCTGAGCAGGCATTTTGAATAGTTGAATAGTTCTAAAAGATGGCAACTCTTGCAAGACCAATTCGTGTGTAGCTTCATCTACTGATGCAAATAATCTATTTTGATTCTGAGTGTCTATAAGTACACATTTTGGTAGTCGAATATCACTGACATTGGCATTCGAGGAACCCGTCTTTTGGTAATTATCCCTGCCAGTTCTCTTTAACAATACGTGAGAACCCTGTACTCCTTGTCCAGTAACATAAGTAGAAGGGGGCCATGATTGAGAAGGAGGCACCTCCGCCATGGCATTGAACTTTGGGCGGTATGAAACAACAATGTCATCACTGCTCTGGCAATAGGCGAGGGATATACAAACTCCTTGATCATAATCATTGGGATTATAAGGCTCGGGAACTACAAACCTTCACATTTTCATTAAGAAAAATATGGAGTATTAAGAGAGGTAAATAAATATTATCATAAACTTTTATCACAATAATTACTGGATATAAACTAAAGCAAGGGTAATGCTAATATCCATAAAGTTCAAACAGCCTACCGTTCTTCAGAATCTATGTTCCATTGACAAGGCCCGATGGCAGATGCGGATAGGATGCTTCTGGCACCAGAAGGAAGACTCGATGTTTGTGCAAGAGACTGCAAACTATGAACAGGGTTGCTAGTTAACCCAGCTAAATATTTTAAGGGTCCTGCAGTTTGTCTCATGTCAAACACCAGAACAGAACCATTCTGCGGGAAAGTTATAACACGATTAGCACTTAGAGTTCTTAGATCCAATAAATACAACAACAAAAAATGCTGACCTGTAGTCCAGCATATATGTAATGTGTGCTGTTTCGATCCCATGAGCAGGACCAAGCAGGAACCTGGAATATGATTATCGCAAGTTATAAACCCCATATGTAAACTGACTGGTGAAGATTGAAAGGTATAATAAAACATCAGTAGTGCATGTTTGGTATCACGATAGATTTGTCTAAACCACAATGAACCACCATAATTTAGCAAAAACTACACTTAGCTTCTACAAAATCATGGTGACTCATCTTGATTATAGAAAACTAAAAGTAATACCAAACATGCACTTAGTACAACAGGAGAAAAAATATATAAACATTTACTATTATATAGGAATAAATCTATTTCAATTATTAGGTGGGAGCATTTGCTGTCGTTTTGTAGGTTTAGCAAAAATCCAAGCTTCTAAAGCAGGGGCTTTAGGCCTCCTAAAAAATTTGATTTTCATGGATTAAAAAGCCTCAAGAAAAATTTAAAAATAGTAATTTTTTCATGTATTATTAATAGGCCTCGGAAAATTAAAAACATTCAAGCACAACAGATAAAAGCTAGGTTGTCAAAATCTCTATTTAGATCTTAAAATCCTCCGATTTTGCGATCTCACTCACCTCCAACGATCCAGATCTTAAGTAGAACCATGTGTTGTAGCTAAATTGTGGAAAATCCTAAAACCATGAAGTTTTTGCGATCTTGGCCAGTTCGGGCCACGATCGTCCGTTTTCTGGCGAACACCATTACAACCCGAGAAGGATGACAAGATGCAAAGGCGCAACAATTACGTTTAGGTGGTACTCATTTTCCCACAAATACACTTGTCAACCAAAATATCATGTAAAAACACCTCAAATGCATAGTATTATTTTTCATTTTATTAGTATCTTACAATGTTTTACGATTTTGCTACCCCCTCTCATCTCACAAAAATAATTGGGTAAGATTTTCCGATCTTAGTTAAGATCTTATGTTTCAAGATCTTACTATCCCCTTCCGATTTTATGCAAGATCCTGATCTTGACAACCTTGAACAAAAGGTCTCACAAGTATAAAAAGATATACTAACTGACATGCTTAATTAAATAATTTGTATCTCAAAAAGCAAGAATTAAAAGTAAAATCTATATAAAATTACAATGAAATATTATTATCAACATTAAAAGGCCACTATTTTTTTGTTAATGACTACATTTAGAGCTTGCTTTATGCTTCAATAAATGTTGGGCAAACCCTGAGAGAAATACTATAATTTTAAGGATAGCTACTTATGCAAGTTACAACAGCATCCTTTACAAAATAAAATAACTCTAACTTATAAGTACCCATTACTCACAAGTTAATGTGTACTTATAGTGGCTAACTCTAATTTTCCAAAATGGCACCTTCTAGGCAGTTCATTTTGAATTTCTTTTACTTAATTTAAGGATGATACATATACTCAGCTTTTACTCTCGTCTCTTCTTCTCGACACTTTAATTTTTAATAAATAAAAATAAATAAATACTATATGTAGTATATTGCAATATTATTCTAAGAAACCACAAAGCATAGAAGTTATTAACTATTACCAACAGATTTATTTTGACTTAATCATAAAAATTGATCAAACTTCTACCTGTAGATTATAATTGAGAACAGGGGTGCCACTGTCGAAGCTGAAACAACATGATATACATTAACGAACAAAATTAACATCGTAAGACCAAATGAATCAGTACTTAACGCAACTATACCTGAGCACGGATAATTTCTTCCCTAATGAAGCATAAAGGGCCTGTCTACTATTGAAAGGAGAAATGTGCAGGTCTCTAACACCATTTGCAGATGAAGGCAGTACAATATCTTGCATCTCAAATGGAGATATTAAGCTTATCTACAAAGCCAGGTTTTCATAAACACCAAAGTGAAATCAGCATCGAATAAAGAGATGTAAAAGCCAACATACACATGAATATTTCAAATTGAAGAATCTTACTTTAGATATCAAGTGCACTTCACCTCTTGCTTTTGGCTTATGAGCTATTAATAATATTTGATTGTAAGTGTCCATATCAAATAAACGAGCGCCATCCAGTTGAAATGCTTTCTAAAAACAGCAAAACAACTTAGTAAATAAAATTCATGTTACCAAAAAACCACATAATGATTACTTGACGAAACATTTATATTATATTCAAAGAATTTGAAGAAAATCAGCCATTCTACATGTGGAGAATATGGACTCATCTATGTTGTTAATTTCGGATAGCATTGTGTAGCACTGACCCCCTAAAATGCTATAACGGTATAGCGGATAGCAGGATAACCACTATTGTATAGACTAAAAACCAGAGTACAAAGTAAACATAAATACTCTAAAATAGACTAATACACAAAATTAAAGACATCATCATACTTTTTAGTTAAAGAACCTAAAGTATAGAGTAATAAAACTTAAGCATAGAAGAATAAAATAGAACTGAACTAATAGTAGGAATAAGAGCAGACCAATTATTAGTGAGCGAGAATATAACACTACTCTTAAAAGGGTTCGGATTGAAATTTATACCCTTAAAAGTTAAAACAAGAATTTATTAAGGAATTTATCCCCGAAATACTAACAGTGGCCGCAATTAGTGGCTGCTACAACCACTATTGTTGACAGTGGCTCGTGGACCAATAGCGTCACACCGAATCCTACCACCACTACACTATTCCACTATAATGATACTGTAGCATGCTATTGAAAACATAGTCCATAAAGTAGATAATAAGATAAAGGGAAAATGGCACACCTGAAATACAAAATTGCAAAAGGATCCTTTTCCATGGGACATTGGGTTATAGTTTAGCTCTGCAAGATACATCAGGTAAACAATACAGTGTGCTCAATCAAATAAACTGCAGTTACTTTTGGTTGACAAAAGGCATTTATTGTTATAGACAAAGAAAGGCAATTACTGAATTTTTAAACAATCATTACCAGATTCATATCTCCATTGAGAGTTCCCACTGGCATCCATTAATCCGGATTGTCTACTCTGCATATCTAGTACCAGCTGCTCCAAATATGTATTTCTCTACATAACCAAACAGAGAAATTTAAAACTATTTAAAAACACACATAAAAAGACCCATAACTCGTACGGCATGAAATCATTAGAAACTAATAAAACAGTTACTAAAGCACCATGACAGCAAAGTAACAAAGTAATTGGAAAAAGTGAAGCAAAGATGTCAGTAAAAACATGACACAATTCTGCCAGATACTCCATATAGAAATATGGACAGTACCAGAAATGGATCTAATAAGGAAAAGGTTTCTAATTTCTTAAAAACCACACATTTTTTGCAACCTAAGCAGCAGGTATCCATCCATTGTCATCATCATAATGCCAAAACTATACCTCCCTGAGATTCTTAACATCAAAATCCAATGCAGCTTCTCTCTTCTTCCATCCTGCTTCTTTCTTGCGCCAATCACCGTCCTAAGAACAAAAGTTACAAATTATCTTAAACAAAGACTAATGACAACATAACCTCCTATATTCTAGGATAATCCCAGCCCATAAAATGGAATTAAAAAACAACCATACATCAAAAAAAAAAAAATCCATAAAGACATAAAAGACATCCTACCTTACTCTCAAGAGAAGCACATTGGGTCTCAAGTGACCAAATTCTCTGCCAACAGAAAAAACCAAATCAGGCAAACAAGTTTCTTGAAATTTAAAACTTGCTTTTGATCTTAACTTTGAGACAACCTTATGAGATTCTTCATCAACAACAACTACTCGAGAAGCATAAAGTTTCCTCACATCCTTCATGGAACATTTCATATTACATTGAGGACACTACAAAGAAAAAATACAAAATGTGAAAGTTAAACACCCTAATCCTTCTTCTTTTACTGGTATATCAAATTCATAAAACAGCTTGCAGCCAAACAAACACGTTATCCAATTACCTTCCCCGAATTGTTCCGCTGTTTAAGCCATTTTTTGATGCAAGACATGCCATAAATGTGCCCACAAGGAAGACAACTAAACTCATTCATCCAAAAAAAAAAACAAATCAACCACAATTCCACAATGTGCATATCAAAAAAAAAAATTAAAAGCAAAAAATGTGAAATTAGGGTTTTGCATTGGCACCAGACGTGATGATCGCCTTCATCGGTCCAAGCATCCATACAAATAGGGCAAATGAGGCCGTCAACCTCGGTGCGGTTCCAGTCATTCTCTTGACTGCCGATTGGGAGTGAAGAAGAGGAAGCCTCTCCTCCATCAGTTCTGCGGCGTTTTATTCTGTTGTCTTCAACTGAATTCTGCCCTTCATCGAAGAGAAAGGCTAACATTTCGTCAGATGTAAGATTCCGGAGACGGTAAGAAACCCTAGACGAGGGCACATCGGGAACATACTCTTCATCATCTTCGTCGTCTTCTTCTTCTTCCTCTTCCTCTTCTTCTTCCTCGTTGCCGGAGTGTCCGTCAAATACTAAATTGACAAATCGAGGATCAGCTCCGGCTGCCATGAGGTCTTCTCTGGCCGGAATTGCGCTCTCGTCCTAGTTGCGCAAATCGAATGGAAGATCTTCGTTGGTGAAATGGGGCAAATTGTTGAACGGAAAACTCATTAGAATGAGATTGTTGCAGAAAACATGTGGCGGAGAAGGAAATAGGCAAGTAGACCTAAAGACTGTAACGATATTGCGACGGAGAAGGGTGGAGGCGTTTAAATGTTGCGAGGGGAAACTAAAGGCGCGGAAACCGCCCACTAATTTTCCAGAAATTTATTTTTGTTAATATATTTATATACTCTTGTGTCGTGTTACATAATGTAATAAATGTTAAATTGAAATTTGATTGTGTAGAAACAGTGTTTGTTGAAAGGAGGATTAATTTTAGATTTAGATAACTTTGATTTATATTTAAAATGGATAGATTTTATTTAGTATTAAAATAGATATTTTATGCTTTTATAGTTTTGGATTTTGGCTTATGAGCAAGCTAACCTAAATTTATAAATAAATGGAGTAACCTCTAATTTTGTAATTAAGTCAATTCATTTTAGTCATAGAATTTGCAGTTGCAAGTGATTAATAAAATTTTTTACAGTTTGTGGGCAAAGAGAAACTCTCCAGAAAATAATTGTCTTCTTTATTTTCTTTTCTCATAATTCATTGTCATTGTGTGGTGATATTAATCTTGTTCATCAAGATTGGTAGAAATTCATCATAGATATTTGGTGAATTTCCAACATCTAGTATCAAGAGCTCGGTTAATCGATTCAATGGAAGTATTGATTAAGAACGATTGAGGAAGAAGAAAAATTCACGATGGCGAGTTATGGGAATACAAATTATCCAGCAACTCTACCAATTCTGAAAGTAGACAACTATGAGAGTTAGTGCAAATAGATGAAAGTTTTATTCAGGTGTCAAGGTCTTTGGGATCTTGTAAATGATGGATTGGAAGCGCTTGAAGAAAATGTTTCAGAAGAAGAAAAAAAGAAACACATAGAATCTGAGAAGCTGAGTTATAAAGCACTTTTTATAATTCATCAATGTCTGAGTTCAGAAAATTTTGAAAAAATGAGTAATTCAGAATCTACAAAAGAAGCTTGAGAGGTTCTTGAGAAGTCTTTTGGTGGTGCAGAAAAGGTGAAATAAGTGAGGTTACAAACTCACAAGAGAACGTATGAATTGTTTCAGATGGAAGATAGTGAGAGCATATCTGATTTTTTCATTAGGGTTACAAAACTAGTGAATCAAAGTAAGGTATACGGAGAAACATTAACAACAAGAGTTGTTGTTTCGAAAATCTTAAGATCTTTGGCTCCTAAGTTCGACCACGTGGTGGTGGCTATAAAAGATGGGAAAGTGTTATGGATTGGGCCCATCCTGGCCCAAGAGCAAGAACGAAGGCCCAATCCATGCAACTCTACAAGGGGCGTGCGCCCGAGGATGCCCGCCAGCGCGTCGACCAGAAGCTACAGCCGTGCCCGCCACTATCCGTGAACACGACGTCATCGACCACATGAAATCCAGCTCGAGCACCCTCCTCGTAGGGCAGACTATGACCGTTACTCCATCACCTGAACTCCGGAAAGACCGCGTCCTCGTCCCTCCGTACTTCTCGCAGAGCATCACCAGGAAGGGAACCACGTGCGGGTCCCTACTACACACGTAGAACCTGGAAGTTCCTTTATTGGGACAGTCCTGGTCGGCCCAATGAAGGGACCTTGGCCCCGCGCTGGGGGCTATAAATACCCTTTATTCCTAGAGGGTCAGGTATTCATTCTTTTACCCATATACACACTTTTTGCCTGCTCGTACTACCACTCACTTTAGCATCGGAGTGCATTGCAGGTACCCCCCCCCTCCCATCTCGTTCAACTTCTGCTTGGAGCCAATCGTGACGGTCCAAGTCTGATCCGGTAAGATCAGCGGCGCCGTCTGTGGAAATCTAGCTCCCCCGTCTTGCAAAAACTCAAAGACCAAAGCTCGACTCAACTATCACCGTCATGGCTGACCAAGTTCGTGATGAACAAAACATTCGCGTCGTCGACACCAACAACGACCTCGCGGATAAAAACGGACACCCCGATAACGCCGGTAACCCCGGTCATAACACCCTCCTTGGGGGAACTGCCCCCGGGCCCTCAGCCCACCACAACGGAGTTACTGCATCATCCTCCTCGGTCCCTCCGCCGCTCGAAGAAGACAATGCAGCTCCCACAAACCATCGAGCTTCCCAATTTCAGGAAGTCCCTGTCCCCGCCGGGGCGGATGCCATAACCCGCGCGCTGTTCGCGGCGATCAATCAGACGAATTACCTCATCTTCTCCCAAGGGGAAAGATTGAGGGCATTCGAAGACGATCGAAGACCTGCGAGGAGACACAGGAGGCCCTAAACTCCACCTCCTCGAGTAACAGAGGTACATGTTCCGTCTCCCTCGCGGAGACACTACAAAGACACCTCCCGTAGCCCGTCGCCCCGACCCTCGGGGAGACGGCCCCTTTGGAGAGGCAACCCATCATTGAGGTCGGGGGACGTAACCACGCCCCCACACGACAAGAAAGAAGACACTCCAGAGACGGGTATGGAAGAATCAACCAACAAGCACCACGCTCGAGAGATGCCCAGCACGACCAGGACCGTCGGGCTCGACAATATTACAGGTCCCCATCACTCTCCCCGGAGCAAAGTGACAAGGACGACCCTTGCGGTCCCCTGTCACAAGCAATCATGGAGGCACCCATACCCCCGGGCATGGAGAAGCCTCCACATCTGAAGGAATATGACGGAGTCGCGGACCCGGTCGACCATATCGACGAGTTCGAGGCTATGCTGCGCTATAACAATGTCGGGGGACCCATCAAATGTCGGTTGTTCCCCATGACCCTCAGAAAGGCAGCAATGGACTGGTATAAAGGCCTCGCTACGGGATCAATCACCTCGTGGCTAAACCTGAAGAACCAATTCATAAGTTCGTTCACTCCGTCTCGACGACACCCAAAGACCGAGGCGGCTCTCGAGGCCATCATCCAGAGACAGGATGAAACTCTGAGAGAGTTTATCAATCGCTTCAACCGCGAAGCCATACAGGTCTCATGCGCGGACCACATGAAAAGATATTTGCTGGAGAGGGGGCTCCTCCCCGGCACAGAATTCAGAAAGGCAGTGGGCATCGAGCCACCTAGAACATTTGATGCCCTCCTCGAGAAGGCGCGGGCGTACATGGATTACGAGGAGAGGGAGGCAGCCAACAGAGCCCGAGACCCCAGGACTCGCGGATCCAGCAGCAACCCGCGCCAGGAAGTTGCTCCTCCTCGACGAATCGGGGAGAAAAGAAAAGAGGACAGACCCCGAGAAGTCCGAGAGCAAAGAGGACCCTCCGGGCGTTTTACCGAATACACTCCGCTCACAGCTTCCCGCGAGCGCATTTTGGCAGAGTGTTCCAGCACAGACTTTAAAGACGGCAGCGTCAAACATCCCCGACCTGCTCCCGCCAAGCCCGGAGCAGACAAGAGCAAGTATTGTCAGTACCACAGGAGCCATGGTAATCTGACTGAAGATTGCGTCCACCTCAAGGACGCCATTGAAACCCTCATCAAGGGAGGGAGGCTCGCACAATACCGGCGAAACGACACTCCTCGTCATGACGCTCGGGAAGCAAGAGAACCAGAGGAAGACGCCCAACCATCTGACGAGTCGGTCCCCGTCCAGACCGCCTTCTCCGTCACCAGACCCGAGGACTTCGACGTCCCCGAACACCTACAGGAGCCGCTCACAACACACAGCAGGTGGGAATATTTCCCCTCCGCCATGGTCATCAATGGTGGAGGATTCAACGACCTGACTATCAATTCGGCTAAAAGGAAGCTGGATGAACTGGTCGACGCGGCACCTCCGCAAACAGTGACATTTGAGAGGGTAAAAGGTAGGTAGGAGCCCATCACCTTCTACCTGGAAGAACTCCCCGGGGGAGCCCCCAACACAGTCATTCCCCTGCTGATAAGGGCAAGAATGGCTAACTTCGATGTGCACCGCATCCTCGTCGACGAGGGAAGTTCCGTCGACGTAATGTACAACCAATTGTTCCAAACTCTACAGCTGGACGACTCCCATCTCTCGCCGTATGTAGGGTCAGACTTACAGGGCTTCAACAGCTCGACCTCCAAACCTTGGGGATATGTCGAGCTCATGGTTACCTTCGGCGAAGGCACAACGACAAGGCAGGTTAAAGTACGCTTCCTCGTCATCGACTGCCCGTCCCTCTACAACTGCATCTTGGGGAGACCAACACTGGCAGAACTGACAGCGGTCCCCTCCACCGTCCACCTGAAGATGAAGTTCTACACCAAAAGGGCACGGGTAGCTACTATCCAGGGAGATCTAGCCGCTGCTCGAAGGTGTTTCAACGCCGCGTCCAAGGGATGCGGCACTGTCGATGTTGGGACAAGGCCCGCCAAAAGACCGACGACGACACGACATGAGCCCGACAAATCAGAGCCCGCCAAGGAGGAAGTCCAGAAAGCTCCACCAAATGGTCGACTCTATAGTTCTGGATGCTCGGTTCAATCAGGATGAACCTCCCAACGGTGAGCAAATTCCCCTCTGACCGATACCAGACGGGGACTTTGAGTTCGTCCCCCTCGGCGCAGACCCGAGCAAAGGAGTAAAGATTGGCATCGACCTCCCCGACCTGGCAAGGAAGCAGATCAAAGCCTGCTTGCGCGAGAATGCTGACATGTTCGCCTGGAGCGCCGCGGAGATGCCCGGACTTGACCCTGAGGTCGCCTGTCACTGTCTCGCCATAGATCCTGTCGCTAAGGCCGTAGTACAACGTAGGCGTAGGCAGTCTCCGGAGAAAACGGAGGCTGCCGAAAAAGATGTAAAAGACCTCCTAGAGGCGAATTTTATTTCTTAAGCCCGGTATTCAACCTGGCTGTCAAACGTTGTACTTGTTAAAAAGAATAATGGAAAATGGAGGATGTGTGTTGACTATACCGATCTCAATCGGGCTTGC